CAGTAAGACAGAATAAATCAATATGATGATCAGTTATCAGATCATTAACTAACAGAGACTTAGAAGAAAGAGATCTAATATTGAACTAGACATGGGTTTTTACGATGTAAAAACAAGTGTGCATTGCCATGTAGCATGCCTTTGCCTGCAGCAGTGCACTTGCAGAATGAACTGTGACCAAGTTCAAATGTGTTTTGTATACCAGCTTGTGCTTGTCAAGTCAGCAGGTGTTTGCAATGAGCATAATTGTGTAACAATATGATGTGTGCAGAGATTTTTTGTTAAAGTTACTGTAGCTGGGGTTTGAACCCTGATCTCCCACATGAAGGCCCATTGCATTAACCATTAGACCATTGGAGCTGTGGTAGATGGGATTGCCAGGAGCTGATTTGTATGTGTGCAGAAATAGGCCACATTGCCAATGCAATCTTTGAAACTAAACTGCAATATATNCAGTACCATATTGTGCAGAGGCAGCAGGGGGCAGTATTGGACCAATACAAGGCTCCATTGACTGCCATTTTAATTTATTAAACATTAATATTTCAAAAACTACAAGTTTTACAGGGACCAAAAGGCATAGCCATCATTTGGCACAGAAGCTTTACAGATATAAATTACATTGGCAGCTCTAGGACAAAGTATGCAGGAGGAGAAGCTTGCCAAAGTTGAGATGACTTGGATGGGAAACGAATCACAATGATAAACCACACCTGATAGTTTTATTGTTTTGTTCTGGTAAAGCAACTGTGTTTATTTTTATAAGATTTTTATAATTTATTTTTCTACAGTTTTTATATTTGTTTAATTTGGTCCGTGGGGCTGACACAATGTTAATGGGGATTTGAGTGGGTAATAAAGGAGAAGCAGCAGAGAGGTGTGTAAGACTACAACTCTGGACCCTGGATTGACAATAAGTTCTGTGGTCAGCAAAGTTAACTAAGTTAGTTAGTTAATAAGGCTCCCCTTATAGATAGCTTATAAAGAGTTTATAGATAGGTTATTAATTCAACACCTTATAAATCATTAATAAATGTTTATTATACAATAATTAGACGGGAAAGAGACAAAACTGTCCGGTTTCTTACCAAATAATGAGACAAGTCCATGTATCTAAAGGTCCTATATTAAACATTTCAGACTAGGTTACTACATTGTAAGAACAATAACGATAAGAAACACATATTTTATTATATTAATATTGTACTGTATTACTCTATTATAAATATTCACAACTGTCAAAGGGAGACTTATTGTAAAGTGTAAAACAGCACAGTATTTATTAATGACAAATAAGAATTTATAAATGCCAAAGGTTAGTAATTAGGGTATTGTGAAAAATCACCATTTTTAAAACTTAGAGTTGATTATCAATATTTGAAACCATTGTTCAAACATGCAACTACTGTCAACAATGATGATGGATCAAAAAAGGAAAAAAAAAGTCATGTTAACACACCAAAAAGTCCCACCCCATCCAAATGAGTGTAAAGTTTTACACATTACAATAAGGATCCCTTCAATATTTGTGGATATTTATAATGCAGTAATACAGTGCAGTTATGTTAAAATATGCGTTTCCTAACCATTATTGTGTTTAAAAGGTAGTAAACTAGTTTTAAATTTTTAATACACAAACAGATTTGTCTAGTATTTGTAAAGAACCTGGACAGTTTAGTCTCTTTTTTTGTCCTTAATTAATGCATAATAAAGACATTAATAATTTTTGAAGTGTTTACAGAGGAATTAATGACCTATCTATAAACTCTTTATAAAAGCCATCTATAAGGGGAGCCTTATTGTAAAACGGTACCAAATTATATATAATTATTGCCCACCAATATAGCAAAATATCTCATGAATGAGCTAAATTTTGACGTGTAGTAGCTGACATTYACAACATATACTCTACTAATATCACATGAAGGTGTGCTTAATGTCATTTACATGTTAATCATCATGGTAAGATATTAAAAAGATATTTGTGTTTGCGCTCTGCTGTGTTTCAGCTGATCCACCTGGAGATCAAACCGGCCATCAGGAACCAGATCATCCGAGAGCTACAGGTGCTGCACGAGTGCAACTCCCCATACATAGTGGGCTTCTATGGTGCCTTCTACAGCGACGGGGAAATCAGCATCTGCATGGAGCACATGGTACGTTCATGTTTCGGCTTGTAGTGTTTCCTAAACTGCATTCAGGCTCAGTTTCTTAGCTCAGCAGTAAGCAGCATATCCCTCCCAGAATGTAAATTAACTAAGTACAAATACTTTGTTACTGTAATTATGTAGAAATTTTGGTTATCTGTACTTTACTTGAGTAATTATTTTTAGCCTTTTTACTTCTACTCCTTACATTTTTACACAGTTGTCTGTATTTTCTACTCTATATTTTTTAAAAAGGAAAGAACTAGAAAGTCGTTTCTCCTATTTCATTTCGGCTCATTAATGTTAAAGAAATACTATCCTGAAAAATTGTGGCTCCTGGATAGTGAATTTAATTGTGGTTGGATGAGAAGTTTCAATCGAAGCTGCACACCTTTAGAAAAAAAAAATTTTTTTTT